CCTCTTCAAAATGAGCAAAAGCAACCTGCACAGGGCTTCAGAAAAACAAAAAATAAAAATAAATGAAGGAGCCATTGACTCCTATGAGAAAATAAATAGGCGATAAAGTATTTTTGTAAGTGCCACATAAGAGTAAACATATGTTTTAATTTTTTTTAAACATTTAATTGCAGTCAACCTGTCATGTTAATCCCAGGGGCCAGATCTAACCCTGCGTTCATTCTCAAGGTGTTTAGTTAGTAGTACCATGGGAGGAATGAAGCATTTGCATGAAGCAGGAAGGGACAGAAGAACTCCACCCATTTTCATCCAACTATTTTCATTCAAATGTGTATATTTGAATAGTACATTTTGTATGTCCACCTTTTCCTAGTATCACTGGAATGAGTGACCTCACTTCACAGAACTAAAGAATTCCTCTGTCAGGTGCAGCAGTTTGTTTTTTTGTTTGAATGAAGTGTGTTCACTGTTCACTCTTCTCTATTTCAGGGGCAGGGTAGTGTCCTTCTTTGTGTGTTCTGTTTGTGGAACTATGCCTGTTTGCTTTTGTGTGTACTCAGCTGATTTGTGTTTTAGAGTGACACAGCATGTTTTCTGTACTCAAATGCAGCAAATATGCAAGTTAAATTAGTTGTAGGCCATTTGTGGTTGAAAATGTTTGAGAGGTAAATACTGATTTAAGGTTAGAACAATTGATTTGTTTTAGTATATCTAAGCAAGTTTAAGTCATTTTTTTTGCCACACCTTGAGGTAATTACGTAATCCCGGCCCACCTATCTCACAATTTGCATGCTGTTCCACCATATTGAATGGCATTACGTCACCTGAACCATCTTTCACCTGTTATTCCAACCTCCTTTCACCTTTTAGTCCAAGGATATTCTTTTTTTGTTTGTAAATAATCCCTGACAGGAACACAGTTTATTTTGAGATAAAGTGGGTTTGTTTAGCACTATCAGCTAGCCAGAGGACTAATAAGTTGTCTAAGTCAAAGGCAGGTTCTGTTTTTAAACATGTTGGCTTTGTGTGGCAAATGTTTGTCAAGTGTCAAACTCAGAATAGTATGTTATTTTTTGTGTTGAATTCAGCTTTTTGAGGAGTGAATGGCAGCTAAGAGACTTTGGCACAGAGAATTATTGTTAAATTTGTTGCATTTTTTCCCCTTTCAGAGTTGTCTCGGGTAGTCTAAATCAGAAACACCTAAGGTGGAATTTCAAAATTGCGCTCCCAAAAAAAGCACTGAATAAAAACAGCATTTGGCCTCATTTTGGAACAATGGATTTAGTCCAATATGTCGTTGTTTTTTTTTCAGTGCTTGGAGACCAGCCATTTTATAGCTATTTTTAAATGCTGCAGATTCCTAGGCTTCAAGAATTTGAAAAATAATTTCATTGTTTTATATATGAGGAAATGATTTGACATATTATTAGACACTTTCTAAAAATATATTTTTTGTCATACAAAGGGGTAAGGTCTTAGTATGATGCATTCTTGTATGCTGCCTACTTTTGGTGGCGTTATTCTATTTAAATTAATATATTTCTAGTGCCCGATAAGCACTATAGCAGAGAATAGAGGGTATGCGCATGACGTCACCGTCGGTTGGAGTGAATGCGGTCACGCCCACAAGTGGCAAAAAGACTGAGCGGCAGCATTTGTTTTCAGCGTGAACGCCGTGAAAATCACACAAAACACATCTAAAACGGGAAAGAGCTTTGCGATTGACTGTACAACTAGATTTGACCAGAAATCTGAGGTACTGTATATTTTTACAGACTGCAAAAAGCTACAGAACAGACTATATTCTGCATAATTGGATGTTTTTAAATAAACACTGACAAAAAACTATACAAGTTTTAGGGCTGGACGATATGATGATATATAGTATAACATTAATGTAAGTGATCACTCGGATTTAGACCTATCTATATTGTATTTATATAAAACGTTTACAGGCAAATTGTCTTCATTTATTTCCCCGGCGTCGAAATCAGGCACATATAAATGTCAGGAAACACGATTCCTGGCTGCATGTCAATATCCATGGATCACTGGATCTTTGATAAGTTGTAAGGAACACTATATCGAGTCCAACTTTTAGTTTAAACTGATAATAGTTTGTTTTACTCGCGTTAACGCAGTTTCCCCTATTAACTCCAGTCACGCAGCAGCTCTTCTGCCACTCAGTCCCGCTGAGGGGGGCGTGTTCCGGCGGGGAAGTGACGTTAATGCATTCCCTCTATAGCCTTAGCAGAACCAGGAGGGCATAAAGGCACAGTGTGCCTTAAAAAGATATGATAGGCTACATTTATTACAGACAGGAAGGTAACAGGATACCTAAAAGGCTTTTCTATAATGTGAAAAAGAATATCTAACAGCATTAATTTCTTTCTATTATTAATTCTAGAGTTTCGATTCTAATCTATGATCTTATGTATTATTAAAGGATGGGGAGTTTTCTCTATGCTTTTCAACAAAACTCTCAACGCTTTGCTAATGTGCTGCTTGCCTATTTACCCAGGAAATACCCCAATGACACCTCAACCAAATGCCAGTGTGATTTTTACAGTGGTCTTGGTGGTCAACCTAAATATACCTCATGCTTTCTTATGCAACTTTTCACATGATTTCCTTTTTATTTTTTCACATGTACGCTAATCTGTTTTCTTGATAATATAATGCCAAACATTTGAACTTGATGAGGAGGAATTTAGTCATAAGGATTCTGTTGCAGAGACTGCATGCCTTTCTTGAGGCTGCTTGGACGAGTGAGAAAAAGGTGTGGGTGGAGTTCAGCACACAAAAGGCCTCCAGTTTAACTGCTCTTCAATTACACGGCTCCCACCCATAAAGCTCTTGATCTGGTAGCGAGAAACAGTTTGTGCAGATACACTCTACAGGACAGGATTCTTTATGAGCAGTAACATTGCCAACCTTACCCATAATTAATTTAGTCAAACTGACAAATGTGCACACACACTTGCACATGCATTGACATAAAATCAGTGCTTTTCCTTAGGTCAGTTGTTGTTTCTCTCACATATTTAACGCTGTTAATGAAGGTAAAATGAGCCGATCGGTATGTCGGCGACAGATGGTGCCCCAGTATGTCTTTGCTGAGTTCTGTTGTTTTGGTTTGTGTTTCCCAGCTTACCTGGCACCAGCTGTATATTAGTCTCTCTTGGCCTCTGTATATCTACATTTGTTTTTATTAAGATGCAATTATATATTAACAGATTTGGTATTTGCTTTTTTTCCTCAAATGTAAGGAGTAGAACAATAAAGACAGTTGGACTACTTATGTTACATTTCAAGCACCTTTGAACAGGTGGGCTGACTATTTCTGATCCTGAGCCACAGCTTGGGTTGAAGCCCAGGGAACAAATGGACATATGGACGTGACAACACACAAACACACTGTTCACTGTCCAACCAGTGGTATAGAGGGCACGTGGCAGGAGAGAAGGAGCACACTTGTTGTGGCACAGAAGCTGGCGAACATTGACATGCCTCACTGGAGCATCATCAGACCATTCTAAACAGCTGAAGATGAATCGAAAGGATAATTTACAGTAGCTGTGTCTACATGTCTAGACATCTGAGTGTTCATATCGTCTTGCGTTTTATTCTAGTATGTAAGTGTTTGTTTATTTTACGAAGGTTTAAACCACATGAGATAAATATCAGTAGTTTGACTCTCTCGGAATGAGTCATATTGAGCCCTTCGCTGGTTTGGGTGGCCTAAAGAAGCAATCCCGCCGCCTGTGACAGATAGTCCGAGCTACCACATCATGGCTTAAATTAGCACACTTAAGATTCTCTGCATTAGGAAACTAGATCAAAAGAAGCATAATAGGTTTCTCAGAGGGTTATCATGACCCAAATTAGCTGCATTCAATTTTTGTTATTGTTGTTTAGGTCTCCATCCGATGTCACTTTCCCCATTCGTCGTCCCAGACGGAGGTGAAAAGTTTTGACTTGATTTGAGTCATATTGTAAAATGTAGTAGTAGTACCTTTATTTGGGTTCAGAATTGTATTTGTTGGCTTTAAAGTCGCAATTTAACGGAAGTAGCAACAGATCGTTTCTTGCATATTGTGACATTGAACATCCGAGTGGTTCTATGCATCAGGTGTCGATAGTATGGAGGCAGATCAAAATGGAAGCTTGCAGTCGTTTGTAAGAAGAAGTTGGGGTTTGTGAGGACAAAATGATTGTAGAAGTTTGGTATGGTCAAAAATGTGCATAGATTAATCGTTCACAAAAAGATCAATAATATGCATTTATAAAATGGATACATTTCCAGACTTATTCCTCTTCCTCTCATGGTAGTCACAATGCTCAGTTCAGATTTTAGTGTAATGTCAAACCTGGTCGAACTTTCCATAGTGTCTGCACATGTGATTCCAAGACGATTGCGTTGTCTTTAGTCTCGCCCTTTCTTTCCAATCCTGTCATCTATAAATATTTTAGCAGTCACATGACACACTAAGATGACTTAGAGAGCTTTTCAGACCACGACAAGTGCACCTGTGACCAGATGGGAGACCAGACTTGTCTCGCAGTTACCGGTGTGCATGTGTGTATGGGAATATATGTGAATGCTTTCCAGCTCACAACTTTGTTTCCTCGTCCGTGGCTGTATCTATCTACTGATAGGATTATGGGTGTGCTGAGACACCGTTTCTGTGCATGCACTCTCACACATGGCGATTCTCTCACTGGCTTTGGCCTAATTCCCTTGATAACAGATCCGTCAGATTACACTTAAGAGATTGACCATGAAGCGCAGCCTCTAATTTATAACAGCACATCTGTGCCATTTTGAGTTGATTTGATTTTAATTTAACTAGGATTCCAATATACTAGCTTTTGTTTGGAAAACAATCATGGTCGATATTATGACAGTAAATGTGTTATGTTTGTTCTCAGTATAATAAATATGATCAATTTAAATACGATTTGAATGGTGATAATGCTCTCTATTTTTGTCTTCTCAGTGCTGATTGGGTGGAAATCCTGGAGCCTCGTTCACAAGAGCGCATGTACGTGAATCTGGCCACAGGAGAGTGTGGTTGGGACACTCCCAGCGACGTGCCTGTCCGCCAGGCTGATGGTAACCAGTGGTGGGAGCTATTTGACCCCCAGAGCAGCAGGTTCTACTACTACAACTCTGCCGGCCGTATCACCGTGTGGCACAGGCCGCAGGGTGCAGATATTGTCCCTCTGTCTCAGCTCCAGGCCATGAAACGCAACACGGCATCCGAGCGCAAGACTGATGGGGGTACTAAAGAAAGGAAACATAGTAATCAGTCCATAGGGAGTCAAGATAGATGCACCCCTCTACCACCCATGGAGCCCTACACTAAAGAGCCAGAATGTGCCGACAAAGCGCCTAAACAACAAGAAATGGACAACAGACAGAAGCCAGACATCCATGGTGCAGACAGCAGCAAAGACTCTCTCAGGTAGGCCCCTGGGCTTTTTCTGCATGTTATCTTGAGTCTAGTCGTTATAGTTCCTTAGAAAATACTGGCCGTAACCAGAGACCAATTCTCTTCGACTGCTGGAATATCACTCTCATTTTCCCTGACTTTAAAGGAACATTCTGGGTTCAGTACAAGTTATGCTCAACTGGCAGCACTTGTGGCATAATGTTGTTTACCACAAAAAATTAATTTTGACTTGTCCCTCGTTTTCTTTAGAAAAAGCTAGAATCAAGGTTACATAGAGGCACTTAGTGGAAATGAATGGGGCCAATTTTTGTAGGATTTAACCCTTTAAAACCGCACGTATCATATTTGATACACGAGTTTCTAAGACATATATTGAGTCAGTGAGAGCAATACTTTCTTTGAAAACCTGTTGTATCTATTTTGATATGTGTATTCTGCCATCTTGTGGAATTTCACTGTACTGCAGGCAGTAGAGGGGTGATTTTTTAGCTTTTCAAAATGGCGGCTGCGATTGGATCAAGCCAGACGCTTTCGGCAGGAAAATAAAGGCTAATTTCAAGTTGTTAAGGTAAAAAATAATATTGGATTGCACCTGATATAATTAATTTAACACTTTCTGAATTGAAATAATGCATAATTACTTAATAATTTAATCGTTAAATTACAAGTAAATCGTGTTGGAAATTGTGTATCAAATTTGATACTGCAGGTATTAATGGTGCTTTATGTCTAAACAGTAACGTCAAATTGTAGTAATGTTATCTACTTTATGACTACCACAATGCAAACACACACAATATTGGGATGATTCAATTAATGGCAATTAATGACTGAAATGCCATATTAAAATATATATTGTGTTAAAAATGCACATATTAAATTTGAAACTGCAGGTATAAGGTTCTTTATCCCTGAATAGTCGTGTCACATTTTTTTTTATGTAATCTACAATATGCCTACCACAATGTCATCTTACAATACATTTTAGGTTTTACAGTAACAATTCCTCTAAAATTATAATCAATATGCTGGAATCATCAATTTTTTATGTGTATTTTTAGATGTCAAAAAGATTAGAGGAAGAAGAGAGAAGAAAAAAGCATCTTCAAAATGTAATCGACATAATAACGGATGGCAATTCAAGTGACCTAGAGCAGTTAGAGGAGGATGATGATGATGAGGAATGGATTCCTCAGGCCATGCATGATGATGGAAGTTCAGACAGCAGTGATGAGGAAGATTATCAAGTCGAAAGTGTAGTCCAGAGCAGCATAGAAGTTGAGGTCCCAACAACACAGGACACATTCAAAAAGCAGTCGGTGAAGGATAATGCAAAAAAGAAAGAATACAGATGGAGAAAAAAACAATTTCAACCTCCATCTGTCGATTTCATTGTATCTGATGAGGAAGGGACAGAAGACAGGTGTAACTGGACTCCATACATGTATTTCAAACAGTTTGTCACTGATGAAATGCTACAGGAAACGGCAGAACAAACAAATCTGTACAGCGTACAAAAAGAGGGCAAGTCAGTAAACACAACTGCCAAAGAGGTAGAGAAGGTTCTAGGCATGTACATGCATATGGGGTTAGTACAGATGTCCTGTGTGAGAGCATATTGGGAGATGGAGACAAAGCTTCCTGCAGTTTGTGATGTAATGTCTCGAGATCGGTTTCTGAAATTGCTAACACTGATTCACTTTCAGGACAATTTCAGTGTTTCTGATGATGCAAAGAAAGATAAACTGTGGAAGCTTAGGCCATGGTTACAAAACCTGCGAGAACAGTTTCTTTGCATACCTCCTGAAGAATGTCATGCAGTAGATGAAATTATGGTGCCATTCAAGGGAAAATCTCATCTACGTGTCTACATGCCTGCAAAACCACACAAATGGGGTTTTAAGATGTGGGGACGTGCAGGACAAAGTGGCTTTCTTTATGACTTTGATGTTTGTCAAGGTGCAGAACATCAAGACAGAGAAAAATCAGAAGTGGGTGTTACAGGAGAAGTTGTGCTGAAAATGACATCAACACTTCCAGCAGGAAAAAATCACAAGGTTTTTGCAGACAATTACTTTACATCAGTTCCCCTGGTGCAGCACCTAAAGGAGAGAGAAATCCACTACGTTGGCACAATCCGGATGAACAGGATGGCCAACTGCACCATGATGGATGAAAGGGAAATGAAGAAACATGGAAGAGGGTCAATGGACTTCAGAGTGAACCAGGACAACAACATCATTGTAAGATGGTTTGACAACAAAGCAGTGAACCTGATTTCTTCATTTGTGGGTATTGAACCTGTGGGAAATGTGAAACGTTGGGATCGCAAATCCAAAACTCACATAATGGTTCCCAGACCAGCCATCGTTGAAGCATATAACAAGTTCATGGGAGGCGTCGATCTCCTTGATATGCTGTCTGCACTTTACAAATTCAGCTTCAGATCCCGAAGATGGTACATGTACATCTGGTGGCACACTGTTACAGTGGCAGTCATCAATGCGTGGAACCTCTACAGAAGAGACCAGAAGATGCTAGACCCCAAGATGAAAACCATGGCTCTGCGAAGGTTTCAAGCTTTGGTTGGTTCTTCACTCACAAGTGCTGGAAAGGCTAAAAAGGTTGGCCGACCACTATCCTGTCCAGAAGCAGCTCCATCAGCACCCCGTAAAAGGTCAAGCTGCAGTGTGCCCCTGGATGTCAGAAGGGATGCCATGGATCATTTTCCAACATGGGAAACCCGACAAAGATGCAAGCATTGCACCAACGATCACTTCTCACATGTGTACTGTGAGAAGTGTAAGGTGCATCTTTGCCTGAACAAAGACAGAAACTGCTTTCGTGACTACCACAAAGTAAAATAAAAGGACTGGAAAAAAGATCTATGTAAAAAAAAAAGAGAGAAAAACTGCCTAAAATGTTCTATGTTTTCAAACTGTTAAAGGCATAATAGATTTTTTGTATCTAAAATCTAATCTGTTGTAAGCAAAACGTTCCCCAAAAGCCTGATGTATCAAATGTGATACAAAAAATATATCATAAACAAAATGAGTTGGCAAATTTTTTTTTTTGGATTTTGATTCAAGGCTTAATAAACATCTAATTTCCAAAAATATATAATTTTCTGCCATTTTTTTAATGTGTCAGGCTTTAAAGGGTTAAAAGCAGAAATGTGAAACAATTTATAAAAGTACTTGCATTAATTCTTCTGTTAAAACTTGAGCTGTAAAGTTGTTTAAAGGGTTAGTTCACCCAAAAATTTCATTTAATCACCCTCATGTTATTCCAAACCCGTAAGACTTTCGTTCACCTTCGAAACACAAATGAAGATATTTTTAATAAAATCTGAGCCAGTTCTTCACCTCTCCATTGACAGTCTACGCAACTACCACTTTGACGCTTCAAAAAGTTCATAAAGAGATTGTAAAACGAATCTGAATTGAGCGGTTTAGTCCAAATTTTCTGAAGAGACTCGATCGCTTAATATGATGAACAGATTGAATTTAGACTTTTATTCACATATAAACATTAATCAGAAAACAAAAACAGAAGCTCAACCAAACCTGCTTGAAGCGCAAGAACAAACCTCTCGCACATCAAGCAAGCATGCTTGGGCTTCCGTTTATTATAACTGATGTATGAGTTGATTAACGTTTATATGTGAATAAAAGCCTAAATTAAATCTGTTTCTCTTCAGAACATTTGGATTAAACCGCCCATTTTTGGGTGAACTATCCCTTTAAATAATTTTTTGGCAGTTGTTAGAGTTTTATGCTTATATTGTCATGGCGACAGAGCTAAATTTACAGATTGGCCTCATTCACTTCCATTGAAAGTTTCTCACTGTAACCCAAAAGGAGGCACAAGTGGAAGTTTTGTTTTTGTTCAACACTATGCCACAAATGCTGTCGATTGAGCTTGTACTTGTTTTTGTTTGTCATGTACTCATAAGGAAGTAATTTAGATAAATTGCTGCCAAATGTGAGAAGTTGATATTTCAACTTTATGAGTTGAGTGCTTTATGAGAGTTTGCTTGTTTCTTCCCAGACCCATTGTCACCTTCATAACCAGATTCCAGTCATGGCAGCTCTTTTTCACCTGGCACTGAGCTATGTCTCTGTTATTTTAGTGCTTTATGCTTTACCGAACTACAATACTAAGGCCATTCATTCTTTCCTAAAACAATCTCTGGGCCCCACCAGATGAAAGCTGCTGGGGTCGGGGCCCAGGGAGAGCCAAACCATTGTGGTTCGAACGTGACTGGACTTTCCCTTTTTCCCGCAAAAAAAGCTCTCTTGAAGCCACGGTATACATTATCCAGCATATACAGCGGTTCTTTCTATTTCAGGGAAATGTTGTGCAGGGCCCTCGTTCTTTTAAATCCACCCATGGAAAAAGAGTTAATGGACTCCAATATCTTAACAGTTGGATCCCACTGAAGCTTGGGAGGATTTTGAAATATTGTGGCTACATGTGGCCCGAGCTACTTGATGAGTGGTGAGTGTTATGAAGAGCTGTCCTCTGTCTTCGCTTTAGACACGCATGACTGCTGTCTCTGGGAGGCCCAACATTTTTAACCTTTTTGTAAAACTAGAAGGGCAACAAATTTTTGACCTTTAGGTAAAACTAGAAGGGCAACAAACCACTCATCTCCCACCGCCTGGCCTTCAATTCGTTTCTAACCTCACAAGCAACAGTATAGCTCTCTCAGGAACCCCACACGTCTAAGCCTCCTAACGGATGACTCACATTTTTCAAAGGTCATATGATGTACAAAACAATAGACAGCTGTGTGCGAGAGAATCAGAGATCATAGCTATAGTTTTATGAGTGCATTGTGCCTAATTTAGAAGTGTGATAATATCTTAGTTGTTTTCAAATAACTTGTGGGTTGTGAGTAGGGCTGGGAGATATTTTGAATATTCATGATATATACTACGGTTCAAAAGTTACATTTTAAATATATTAAAATTAAAAAAGTGTTATTTAAAATTATAATTTTATTTCAC